CTAATTCTCTTCGTACCCGTTCTTTACACTGACCCTGTGCTTATATACCCCCCCCCCCCCCCCCCCCCCCTCCCTTCTTTTCCTCTTCCCGCGAGGCCCCTCCAATGCTTCGGCGAAAATGGTCGATTGCACACACGAGATGCCTAACCAGCTCAATCCCCCCCCCAAGCTTGAAATCACCGCCGTCCTGGCTGAGCAGGTGGGCAGTATATGTAGGCCGGCACCCACCCAACTCCGACGCCTGGCCCAGGACTGGACTTCTTGGTACGCCGTCGTGAAAGCGGTCGCTTGTGACTTGCTTCGCTCATCATCGGCGGCGGCTGCTGGACTGAGGACGTCGAACGACCGTGATGTTCTTCTCAGTCTACGTCGAGACCGGGCCGACCAAAACGTCGACTTACTTCCCCAACTCAGACTTCGCGAATAAACCCTAGACAGAAACACAGGGCACTATCGAGCACACATGACGTTCCACCTCCCAACGAAACATCTCTCAACCTCAAGCTCCGTGAGACATGCCCCCATAATCAGCGTCATCATCATCGCACACAGGTGGTTATCCTCTCGTGACAGGCCGCAGATATGACTAGGCGTTACACAATTGCTAAAAGAAAGGCATTTCCTCAACTGAGATCCAGGGCTCTTTATATCTGCTTTGCAGACTCGAGTCAGCCTCATACTCACGCCGAACCCCTCAAGTCTCCACCTCAGAAGCCGTATTCATATACATAGCTGACTTCATTACCACTCCTCCTACCGTCTCCCTCAACATAATCATATTTACAACTACACTTTTCAACAACCCCTGAACGAAGCGACCAGACCTCACAACGTTCACCATCACGTCCCACACGTGTTGTCAACCCAGCATGGACCCAACCGCGGGAACACTTACCATCATCACAATTGTTCGTATGCCAACCGAGATTGAAGATGCGGAAATGGGTATCATTGTTCAAGAAAAGTAATCGCTATCCAAAACGCCTCATTATCTATGGCCCATCATCCAAGAACTTTTTGGTGTCATCTTCCCTGTTGTGAATGGCCTCATTGAACCCAATTTCCACGGTATGCTCGTACTTCGAAAAACAAGGATGCTTCTGTTGTCCTTCTTGGGGGAATTTGAAACGACTTCGCCAACTTGGACACCTCGCCAATGCTCCGTCACATAGTACCGAGCCATAGTTGAACGTCCTCCAGTCAACAGTCTCTCCTCTTAGCCACTCTCCTCGCGACCACTGCTGTAGCCGCTCTCGGCGCCAGCTGTGGCGACAGAGCTGCCTGCCGCAACGGGCACCTCGACGCTCAAGCTCTTGCTTCGACTGCGGACCGTGCCAGCAGCTGCGACTGCGCTGCTGCTGCTGGCGCGGCGCAGATCCCTTGGTGGGACGGCAATTCTCGCCTCCTCACTGCTCGCGTCTGCGACGGCGTCGCCTGGCTCATCACCGTCATCGGGCTCTTCGCCCTCCTCATCACCGCTGGTAATCTCCTCGTCGTCGGGATAGGTGTTTTCGAGAAGGTTGGGGTTCACTCGATTACCCAGAGGCAATCTGGATTCAACGTCCAAGTCCGACTCCATATCGGAATCTTCGGTGTCGTCTGAGTCGCTTTCAAAATCGAAGTACATACCCGGCGGAGGTAGCGGTGCAGGGTCGAGTCTCCTGACAGCCCTGGACGTGTACTGGATGTTGATACTCGAGGTTTTCCTCTCGGATTGGGGCCGAGACACCCCACCTCGAGACGAACTCAAAGGCGACACTATCCTCTTCGTCAACTCTGGGACATCCTCCATCTTCAGTGTCGTGGTAGGCGCCGCCAAATCATTCTTAGGTCGCTTAGTGGTAGCGACGACCATAAAATGGTCGTAGGGGGTAACGCCGCCGAGGCCACATGCATCGAGGGTGCTGTCGGGCACAACCTGAGGCGCGTTCGACCACGGGAAGTCGGCGTTGATGTCCACATCCATGTCGTCGGAATCAGTCTCGGTTGCGACAGCAACACTCGGTACCTTTCTGCCGTCGCTCAGGGGTCGGTATGGGAGGGCGGAGCCTGATGCGGTGCGATGCGGCGCGTCTGGGCGAAGGAATCCGGTGCTCGAAGATAACTGCTGTTCTTGTCCAGTTGAAGTCATGTACGATGACGGGGATGCGTCACCGGGATCGCCAGACAAATCCGTACAGAAAGGAGCGCCGCTGTAGTAGATGATGGCGCCATCCAACCGCTTTCTCTTTCTTCGCGACGACGAAGATTCGCCATTGTCCCATCGTGACTCGCCGTTGCTGTTGTCTTCCGCAGCACCAAACGATGAGCCGGTGTCATCGAGGGAGGTTTGTTCCGCAGAAGATGACTGGTGTACAAACAAAGGCTTGTAATGAAACCCGTCGGCCGAGGATATTGGTTGGTCGAGCTTCGACTGATCTGAAGTGTGCTTCCCCGATGACATGGAATATTGACCGCTCTTTGCCGTCTGTAATATTTTCCGTTTCTTTCTCGACCCGTCGTTTTGAGCACCTTCGGACTCATCTGATCGGCTGACTTGAGATGTGTCTCCAGAACTGTCGCTGCTGAACTTGGTGCCTTCGGTTCCACCTCGCCATCGGATCTTGCGACCGTCCGGAGAGAGTTGAAACTTGGTGCTTCGCTCAGAAACGGCACTGCGGATGTAGTCGGGTGCAACATTCAGCATGTGCAACTGTGCCATGTTACACAATAGGTTCAGGTATACCCAACCGTCGGCGTCGGGAGATACATCCTCGTACGTGGCCAGGTTCGTCAAGTGAGGTGGTGCGAGGCCCAAGTGGCGGATATAATCCATGTTTTCCGTCGGGTTCTGCAGCCGGTCCGGATCAAGATCTCGCGGCCGAGTGGGGCGTTGCTCCGGTGGTAGAGCATTCGGAGGGGACGTGCTAACCTCGGCCGTAGCAGCTGGGATAACCCCGGGCTCTGGTTGGTCATTCGAGTTGGTTGCTGAATTGGTGTCTTTCGACTGTCCCTTCTTACCTTCGAAGATCCGTGCCTCGCGTGAAGGCTCGTTCACTACCGTCGAGATATTTGGTGGTGGGTGAGAAGTAGTCGTATTTCCGGTTGCGGGCTCCACCATGATGGGCGCCATAGGGGCGATGTTCGCAGCGGATTTGGGTTGGTTGCGTGCCAGACTCCGACCAGTAATCCTTCCCGTGAAAATTTGCTCCAATCGTCGTACAATGAGCTTTTTCTTATCCTTGTCCGTCATAACCATGTGACGTGGGTACAAACCCTCCGGAATGTCTTTGAGGTAGCTCTGCACCTTCTGTTCCGAGGATCTCGCTCGCGAACTGGCGGATGGTCGTGCTAGAGATGTGCCGGATGAGTTGGCGCCCGTAGACATGGACGCGTAGGCAGAGTCGACTGGTCTCGAATGAGACCCAGACGAAGAGGATGCATGCTTCGATAAGGATCCTGACCCAGAGTCGAGACGCGTAGTGTGCCTTGACTTCTTGCGCGCCGATGAAGCTTCTGCACTCGGGGTGCTACTTTCCAATCCAGAAGCAAAATCGCGGAGTGTGCTTTCCAGTTCTCGCTTCTTGCGCTTTGGCAGGCCGTGAATCTTGATTTCGAATAATTTATCCCTCTTCATCATCTCTGGGCCCTTATGCTTATACCGCTTCAGCTCATCCTTCAGTTTCTTGATCTCAACCGTCAGGTCGTCGATGACACTTCGATAGTCGTCTGCACTGCTGCTGTGGGTAGCGCTGGGCTTGAGTCCGGTTATTGGTGGCTTCAGCAGATGCTGAGGGTAGCTCGTCGCTTTCGCCACATCATCGTTGGAGGAATCGCTCTCCTTCTGGAAAAACGGAGGGTCAACTGAACCAAGAGCTGTTAGACAACACTCATACCGTAGGCAGCTTACCAAACTTACCATCCATCCCGTTGGAGTAGTCGGCAGTCGGGTTCTCATTATTTGCGTCAAACCAGTTCTTTGGATCACTGTGTCCGGTGTTGTGACTTTCTCCGGATGACTGCCGCCTTGGTGATGAAGATCCAGAACTGGCGGCTGCAGCGGCGCGGGATGACGCTGCCCTCTCGCTGGCCTGGCGGGCAAGACGGTGGTGTCGTAGAGTTACGGAGTGCTCGGGCGACGCACGCCGTGGCAGTGGGTGGCCTTTCGGCGACGTCGGCGGTTGGGTCCCTTGGGATTTTTTAATGTCGGGCATTTTGGCGTCATACAGTCGTCGTTGACACAAGACTGGCTCTGGTATATGGTTGGTGTTACGACCGTGAGAAGCACAGTCGTTGCGACATGAGGTTGGTGGACTATTCGTGGTCGTAGCCGTTGTGTCGGTCACGAAGTCGACCAGGTTAAAAATCGGAATGAATCTTCGCCGTGAGAGCAGTTGCTGCTGGTGGGTTGACGAGTTGTTAGTGTTTGAGAAGTCAACCAAGTTGAGGCGTCTAGGTATGGTTGAGGTAGAAGGCTGTATATGTCGGAAAGGACGTGAGCTGTGATTGGCTGATAGTCGATCGATCGATCGAATTGGAGTGGTGAGGTATGACGACAATCTTTGTCAGATGCAGCTGCGCGAGTGTGCACCTACAATATTGGTAGGAAAATGCGCCTCAGATACCGTTATACGCTAGAGCACGCTGCGGTGGGAATATTGGAATTCCGAGAAGCTGAGCGGGAAACGATGAGCGCAGGCAGTAAGCGCAGGAAGCAGTCGCAAGTCGATGCGATGGGAATCGTGCGGGATGGATATCGAGAAGGCCTCAGAGGCCGCGCTCTTGGAGTGCGCTCACTCAGGTGTCGGAGGATTTGAACAAGGAATTCTGGACCACTGCGAGGAAAGGCTGTCAAGAGTTGCGAGGCGTCGAGTGGGTATCGCGGTGGGGTTCGGTGCGAGGGAAATCGCTTCCGTGTCGAGCGCGGATTCAGTGATTGAGGGCCTCAGCAGTTTGCTCTCGACTCGCCTGGTGAAGGACAACCCAAGACTGCCGACCGACGGGAGACCAAGCTACGGGTTCGGTTCGAGAAGATGCTAGAAATGATGAAGCCAGATAAGAGTCGTCTTTTTGCGTGAGTGTTGAAGTTGAGCTGGGCGGGTTTCCGGCGGGTGGATCGTGGTAACCGTCGCCGTCGTCGTCGGGTCAGTGGACGTGATGATGCCGGTTTGCCAGGTGGGTGCTGACGAACGCGAAGTCGGGTATCGCTGCTATGAATCTTTTTTTGGCGAAATGGGAGAGGCCAATGCAGAATGTAAAGGTCTTGTGTCGTCGAAAAGTCGAGATAGCGACGGGAGTGAGGCGAAAAACTTGGGAAAGAGAAAGATGACCGCCCAGGTCTGCCGACGATGAGATGGGAACTGGTAGCCCACGCCCCCTCCGGCGAAGAACAAAATCGGACAATCTTGGGCCAATCTATGTTGGGTCAGAGGCAAGGAGAGAAGCTTGGTTCCATTGCACACCCTCGACCCGGGATGGCTTATTCCAGAGACTGCTGGCAAGTTCAAAGTGCAAGGCAAGGGCCAAGGGGACCACCTCACGGCAAGAGCTCTGCAGGAAAGGAAGAGCAGACAAGAAAGTTGCGAAACGTTTCGAGGGGTCTAGCCAGTTCCCCACGCGCAGTTGGCGGATGCGGCCCCACACCAGCTCGACAGCTCTTTGGTCTGATCTCCAAGTCGAGGCAGGGCTCTCGGGATCGAGAGTCAATCGAAGAGGAAGGTGGGGCCACCTGTCTTGGGGAGTGCCTTCTTTGTGAGCACAGGGGGTGTACCTAGTAAGTACAGATACGTACCTTCACCAGAGTCGTCATTGGCCTCACCTCAGGAATACCCTTCATACTGAGTAGGTAAGACAGCGGCAGAAAAAATGGACGCAGCCTGGGCCCTGGGTATGGAATCTTCACCATTCCTGCGCCCACTGTGACAGCTTACCTCCGACAACAGTGAATAACCTCCTAAAGACCAACAAACACTACATACTCATCACGGCTGACCCACAAACAATGCCAACATCGCGAGTCGTGACTTGTAAGTTGTTGCTCGATTGCGGTGGCAACTGCCAACTTTCTCTGCGAAGAAGAAACCAGACTCATCCCTGGTCGGCTACCGTACACGCCTCGTCGTGGAGTGCTGAAGGAGGTCCCTTATTCGGCACCGTAGGGATTACCCGGCCGTCTTTGAGCCTGAAGCAATCCGTGGCCCAAGCCATGTGTCCACGAACAAGACCCTGAACTTTGAGCGGCTTTTCAGCCAATCGTTAAAGTGATTCCCTAGAAAATTCAACGGTCGATCGTTTTGTATCAGGAAACCAAAAGTCTGGTTGTTCCTCGGTGTATTTTCCACGGCAACACCTCCAACGTCCCAGCCAGGACCAGCTCGTCAATCGCATGCAGCTGGTCGACATGATCTGGAAGAACCGGATTCAGGTGAAGTTGTCAAACAAACCTCGAAAAATAGGGTTCTATGTCGAGGGCTGAGCAGCAACCTTGAACCACCTTCGACGCCTTCGAAACCGTCCGATCTCGATTGAGCGTAGTGCCTGCTTACGTCACGTCAATCAATGCGACTATCAGATCCATGTCGTCGGTGTTTATCAGCCCGGACCGACAGGATTCAGCAGACAACTCTAGCATGCTAGCAGTTCCTTCTGCGACTCAGCATCGGCAATCGCCCAGTGCTTTCTTTTCTAACCAACACTACTACGTAGGTATACATACGATCCATCTTCACTATACGCACTTGCCCATGTCGAGTACGGCAGTCACGGCGTCGCGGATGCATGGCAGGGCAGGGCAGCACTGGTTTGATGGGCTGGCGGGCAGTTGTGCATTCGTCAACGGAGAATCCCCGAGTCCGGGGGCTCCATTCGCCGTGGCCAATCCCCGGCCCTGCCATTATGACACGGGCCACACAATACGGTCTGCCGTCCCAAAGCGAACCCGCAGTCTCGTGAGCCCGCGATCTCGCTTTTGCCGTGTCATCGAGTCGACAGGCGCTCCGACTCACAGCATTAGCTGGTCGCTCCTTCACGACTACTCAAATAATTATCGGCTGAGAGCCCAGCAGGGCGCGCGTTTCCTCATTTCATGCCAATTTTCCAATGTCATCGCCGATGCCTTTTCTCCACAAACAACCACCGGCTTCCATCGTCCATGCCATGAAGCCCTCCCTCTCAGTCTCACCTCTCATTTTTATCGACCCTGCATCCTAAGGTACTGTTGACAACCACCAGACGCACCGCACCGCCTGGGCCAGCCCATCTTTTGGACACCACCCTCACCCGCCAATAAAGCAATTCCAAGCTGACCGCGCAATACGGCGCGCACCAGTTTCAATCTCGCGAACCCTTCAACAAGGCTGCTTCCTCATCGCGTTGAACAGCTGCGATCTTCAATTTGCCGTTCGCTCTTTTTGTCAGGAAACACCCCCCCTATAACACCCTAGGGCGTTCATTCCAGCAGCGACAGCCTTAGCCTTGGTGATCAGGCCCGAACACTGTGAAGCCATCAATTGACCGCTTCAGCCAATCAACACCATCGGGGTCTGTTCCGCAAAAGCGGGTCTCTCGCTGGATCTCGATGATTGGTGCACGTGCTGTCCCCTCTCTTTCGTCACCGCACCTCGATCAGCAAACCAGACCTTGCACACGGCACGTCACTGCCCGACTCTGACTGCCCGTTCCGCTAAGTCCTTCGAAAGGGAGGGAAAACTTCTCTGTCATCGCCCGACTTTATCATTGCCACCACGCCATCAATCCCGAGCCTTGTCAATCATCGCCGTTCTGGCCAAACCCGGGAATTTACCACCAGCCCCTCGAAGATCATTTCCTGTTTCTAGTACGTACTCCGCACATGTCACTCAGCCCTTCCAGGTACGCACCCTGGTAACCACTCGTGGTTTTTTTCAGGGTCCTCGCGGGTAGGGAAAAAAAAAACGATCCCTTCCACTTCTACGAGGCACCATTATGACAAAAAAATCAAGGCAGACGTGCATCCCTCCGACGCATCCCGGATCCCTTAGCAAAAATCGGTCGACACTCGGCAACCCTGGTGAAAATGATGAACGAGGCATTTGACACCTGTCCAGCGACGCTGTGCTGTGAGAATGGTCAACTCACAAGAGGAGGTCTTCGGGGTAAGGTCCAGCGCTGGCCATCGGCGATGGTTTTGGACGATCGGGCACTACCGAGAAAATGAGAAAGAACGGCCCGTGGCGTGGAGCACGGGAAGCCCGCTCGCCGCGTTCTCCGGTTCCAGCACCGGAGCCGGCTCTCGGTCAGCTTCCCCGCCAAAACACCGCTAAGCCACTTGAAGCCAATCAGCCACCACCGCTCTCAAGTCGGATAATAAGGTTCGCCCCCGATCTCTATGAGCCGCGTCGTTAGCGTGGATCGAAAGTGCCAAAGGACCCTTCGTGCAGCTCAATCACGACGCCGCACCGTCCCTCGATGTGTTGATCGCCAATTCAGCCACTTTCTACGGACTGCAGGTCTTATTGGGACAAAAATTTGCGATCTAGATCGTTTGGCGTAAATGCAACAGATTCCCATTCGGCCGGCCATGTTCTCGCATCTGAGAAGCATGCGAATCTGGGAAACTGCTTTGGTCCCCCTCAAAGCCAAGTCTCATGATTAGCCGTCCAAGTGGGCCAATTCCATCCAGAGCATCGGACACGTACAACGTGGAGGGGAGTGTAACGAGATCGCGCACGCCATCAGATACGCGGAAAATGGCAAGATCAAGGGCGCACGCGGCAGGGTGCTACGCGGCGTGTCTCCTGCGCCAGATCATATACCACCCCCTTTTGCTGACGGAATCCTCTCTCGGATTGGCCAGAACGATCTTTCTCGCGTTCGCCCACATGAGGTGTCATCGACAGCTCATCTGCGCGCTCTAGAGACTGGCTCGGGGCCATCAGAAGTAGGCTGGCCGGCCGGCCGGCCGAGACCCATGTTTGGTTCTGCTCGCTATCGCCGTTCCGCAACCCCCGAGACGGAAATGCCAAAGTATCACTCGAAACAAGCTTATTTTGCCTTTCCAGGGACTCAAGTGCGACTGATCATAATCCGATCTCAAGGGTCTGAGGGGTCCCCGCACATCTGAGGATCTATGTGGAAGCTGGGAATCCTCAAGATCATCGACCCCTGCCGACAACCATTTCGGATGCGCTGGAACTCACATCGAACCGCCCAGAGCTGTCGCACTCTGCCACGTCAG